GGGGAGGCCGCCCGCGGACTCCTCGGATGCGGCTGTCCTGCAGCAGAAGCCTCGACAGTCTCGGGGTAGGTGCCAAGCCACCTCCCTTCCAGCGGTGGCGCAGCGACAGCTGGATCAGGTGCGGCGCGCGCGGGGACCCGGACGAGCCCCCGCCACGTGGAGACGGGATGGAAGGCTGGAGCGGAGGCAGCGCCCGGGCCGCGGCACCCTCCGGCCTTCGGACTCCTGTCTCCGAGGACCCCGGCCGCTCCTCGGGAAGTCCTTTCCGGGATCCTGCGGGGTCCTCTGTGATCCGCCACGGCAAAGGAGACGGCCAGGAGGGGCTCCCCTTACTCAAACCGCCCGCAGTGACAGTCAAAAAGCTGCAGAAGTGGATGTACAAAGGACGCCTGCTGTCCCTGGGGATGAAGGGTCGCGCCCGTGGGACACCACCCGAAGTCGCGGGAGCGCAAGCAATCTCGCCAAATCTGGGCACTTTGAAAATGCAGGAAAGTCAAGTCCTCTCGGTGCCTCCAAACCAAAGAATTACGCTGACAGGTAGGATCCTTTGCAATCAAAATGCTAACACTTCGAGCCTTAATGTTTACCGACCGGGCTTCTGTCTTAGAGCAGAGAAGAAGGTATGGTTTTGCAGACAGGTACGCGCCCGTGCCAAAGTGAGTGTCATGTAAGTAAGTGGCAGCTAAATGCGATTTCAGAGTTACCTAGTGTAATGCATTCTGTCGTCTTTTTTTTTTTTTAAGACAGTGGCATGAGGAACTTGGAGTTTTTGTTTTTTCTTCTCCAAGAACCAGTGTACTTACTTTTAAGCACAACAGTGAGTAAAGGTTAAGTTCACTATACACTTTTGTGGGTTTCGAGTTGGGTGGTGCTGCCTTGATTTTTATTCTTTGTAGCTCTAGGCAAATCTGTAGACTTTTGTGGAGTTTGTGAATTTGAATTTGATCCAAGTTAGACTTTATGGACTCTATAAACTGTCATTTTGCTCATTGCACCTTTCCCCCTCTCTCTCCCAGGAGCCCGCGTGCACACACAGACAGATACACACAACCAAACACCAAAACCAAACCAAACTGAAAAAACTACCATAGTAAAATTTCTTTCTAGTCAGGTAGGATTTCACATATTCTTTTCTCTTCACCTTTTCCTCCTCTCCCCCTTGCCCCCTAAAAACCCAGTCAAGTAGATAATCTAATTATTGTGGAAAATGAAGGGCACTTGCATTTTAATCAAAAGAAAAATGTCTTATGTACTTTTTAAGAAAGTAAATATTTAATGTTTAGACATTTAATGTTATTTGTAACTTAAGTATATTTGTCCTAATAATAGGATTTTGCTGCCTATTTTGTGTGTGATTTTTAGTTTTCACTGGAGGTTTAGATGATCAATTCTAGAAATCTTTTACGTTGTAAATAGCAAAAAATTCTCTTGTGAAAGAAGTACCTTCAAAGTGAGCCTAAAAGAACATGATCTTTTGGACTACACTCTTAAATATAAAGACCTTTTGTGAGTATAATGACTTACATATCAGTAATAATTTTAAAAATATTAAATGCTGAAATGTAAAAAGTATTCACAGTGCTTAGCAGTTTCTCTGGTAAGAGTTACAAATCCTACAGGACTGGGTTTGTACACATTAACTTTTTTAAACCAATAAACACGCAGCAGTGGGGAGAAACAAAGCTCACAAAACTTCTAATCACACAGTGCAGACAAATTAAGTGATTCACTTTAAGTGTATACAAACTAGAAGAGTTTTTCTGAATCTATAAATCTCTAATTCACACCTGTCAAAATTTTCCCTCAAATTTATTCCATTCCATGTGAATAAAAGAACAGTAGAATGTAAATTTTTGTGAAGAGGTATACTTTATGCTAACTTCATAATAAAATGTGCATTTCCAGTAGCTGTAAAGTGTTTGTAATCATTTATTACATTTTATTGCCATTGTATCTTTGCCTCTACTGATCTTGATTCAGTTAACTCTTTGTGAGACAGTTACTTTTCAGCCGTAACAAAAATCTGTATAAAACTTTAGTAAAATATTTATTACTTTTTTGTTGCAAAGGTTAAACATTTACCATCTGGTGGCTTTTAATACCCTCAGTTGTAGGGTAAACATTCAAGGATTTAAAACATATTAGTAAATACAGTAACTCTTAGGAATGAATTGATTGATTTTTTTCCACCGAGAAGCTAATTAAATGAAACTGAGTTTAAAAGAAATTAAATGACACGTTTGAATTACTATGTGATATAATTTTGGATATTTTACAAGAAATCTAAACAAAAACTTTAATCGCTGGTTTAAAAAACTTTCTCAGATGTTATTTCCTTTCAAATCACCAATTCCTCTTAGGAAAAATAATTTGTGCAATGTTTACATAACTAGTATAGATTTGAAGAGCTTATCTTTTTTAAAACTTTTTAATGAAGATCAGTTGAACTTATTAAAACCATTCTGGATACTTTATGGGGTCTGCATATAATCTTTATTATCCCCCCCCACGTGGAGGTATGACAGCTATTGAACAATGACAACAAAAGAAGAGGAGGGGTTAAGTAGTTTGTCCAAGGTCACTTAAACTAGTATATAGTTTATGTGTAGTAGTATATAGATCCAAACTATTAGGTGGATTCAAACTCAGGTCTTTATGGCTCCAAAACCCCTATTTATGTAAGGTCAAAAGTGTTCTAAAGTTCTTTAGAGGTTCGATCCAATTAATTCTATTTAATTGCTTGGATTGAGGAGATGGATGGAAGTTTAGCAGAGTTTAGAGAAAAAAGTAACTTTCTCAAAGTTGCAAAGAAGATGGGGAAATCCTAGAATAGGCTTAAAGACTTTCTTTTAATCAATTGCTATATCCATCTTTAACCTGTATCTTTAAATGTTTAGTTCAAATTGGTGTTACTTTAAAATCATGTTCTCTAAAAAATTAACTGGGCAGTCCAGATGAAGCAGTGCATTCTTGGTTGTATAAATATGTTAAATAGCCTGAAAGGTTTATATCACATTTTTCTATATAATATTATTTGTGAGGATATTTTCTTTCAAAAGAAAGTTATACTTAGAATTTATAACATAGAATAACTATCTACTGGGATGGAGATACCTGATCTACTTAGGTATTTTGGAAATTTTTGAGACCATATGACAAATGGAAGCCAAAATGATTTTCTGTTTTGATTCTGGCTCCTACTAAGAGCCACTAAAACTTTTGGTAATATAATACTGCAAATTATTTGATGCAGTTGGGTATGTAGTGTTCACAGATTGGCCAATTTGTTGCTAATTGAGATGATTATTTAAGAAATCTAAAGTCATTACACATACTAAATATTGTCAAGTTTCTGCAAGCCTTAAAGTTATGAAGGAATTTTAATCTATTTGCCAAATATACTTCATTATAAGTCTTTATAAATGTTTTAATTAGCAC